GCCGCGGCCGGGGTCGGCCGAAGAGCCTCCCCAGCTCGCCGGGCAGCGCAGGCCGGAGAGCGGGGAGCCCGGGGGACGCGGACGGGCGCGGGGTGCTGCGGGCAGAGGCTCCGCAGCCTCGCCAGCGACCTCGACCAGGTTCTCGACTTTTCCCTTGGCGCCCCCCAGGGAGCCTTTTAGATTTCTTTTTCCTAATTGTGCCCCGTAAAATCTTTGAACAGGACTAACAGGACTTTTAAAGTTTTCGAGACAGATCTTTTTATGTCAGGCAAGCTTTGAACTCACTTTGGAGTCCAGGCTGGCCTTGAACTCCTGGCAGTCCTCCTGCCTCAGCTTCCTGAGAGCTCCGGAATTGCTGGAGTTACAGGTGTGCGCCTCCATGCCCGGGTGAGCAGGAGTTTTCCGGTGAACGTAGAGCCGCTGGGGTGCACGGGGCGGCGCGGGCCGCCAGTGGAGACCGCCGCCCCCGCGGGCTGTGGGGGAGTGGGGGCCCGGCCTCCGCAGATGGCCCTTGCGAGGGGGTGGAGCCGCTCTTCCGCCTTCCCGCTGAGCGCGGTGGCTCTGGCGCTCCCCGAGGCGCTGGTGAGGTTGGGCCGCGCAGTGTCGCCGGTGCCCTCCACGGGCACAGGTTGTCCCGGGAGGGCGGAACCACGGCCGGGCTGGCCCCGCACTGCTGGTTCCGCGGTGGACCCTCGACTTCGGTAAGCTGTAAGCGCTCAGGCTGAGAAGTGTATTTTGAGCTCAGCGTGAGGCTGTGGGGCGCACAGCTGGCAGAAGATGCGTGTGAATCTTACCGGGCCTGGTGGCAGTCCTGAAGCGCCAGGGTTTCCTGGGGGAGTTTGGAGCAGGGACTCCGGAAGAAGGTGCGGCTGCAGTCCCGACAGCCCGAGCGCTCCTGGGCAGGGCCTGGCCCCGGGCGCAGGGCCGCGCTCGGCAGCACCGTGGGCCCCTGTGCAGCTCCCGTGCCGGAGCTTTTCCGCCCGGGGCTGGTGGCGAGGCGGGCGGCCTCCGTGCTGGGGTCTGGGGGCTGCCCTGCGCCGCCAGCTCCTTGCATGCCCTCCGGCGTGCCCTTCGCTCCCTGGCCGTCTTCTGGCCCCGTCCGGCCCGTGGCCTCCGCTGAGTACTTGCAGGCTCCGGGTTGGGCCCACCGGATGTGGGGCGGAGCCCTCCTGCTGGCCGGGCCAGGCCGGGCCGTGCAGGGGTAAAGGTCACCAAGGAGGCTCCCAGGTCTTCTGGACGCAGCAGGCGGTCCCAGCCTTTGCACCCGCCGGCCAGGCAGAGGTGCTGCGGGCCTCCCGGGCCCTCGCGCCCGGCACCCTGTGAAGAGGCGGGTTCGTCGCCCCCTGCCGGGCACGGCCTGTGCCTGCCCCTGGGACTCACCCACCTGTCCGAATGACGCTCTTGCCCTGGAAGAGTGATTGTCAGTAGCGATGCGCTGGAAGTTCCATACACCCACAGATGTTTTATAACCGATTGACCGACTTCTGAGAAACCCAGGACATAGCTGACCCGGAGCCCGAGACCTGCAGAGAGCGGGTGGAGGGCTGCTGGGGAGGGGTGGTCGTGTGTCTGCAGCCTGAGGGACAGGCCTGTGCAGCCCCACCTTGGGCCCGGTGGGGACTGCTTCTAGCTCAGGAGCCCATACGCAGGGTGTCCCGGATCCCCCACCTCCTGGCCCTTTGTCCTCGGCCTCTTCGGCCTGGTCGGGGCTTTCATTGCGTTGCTCAGTTTACAGCACCCACTGGCTGAGCACAGCTTGGTGAGGCCACCGCAGGTGCCCTGGGGCCTGGTGGTCGGGAATGGGGGAGTAGGCTGCTCCACTTCCTGTCCCTGTCCAGGGCCTCTCAGGGCAGCTCCTTGATTCCCTTGGCTGTGCTGGGGTCACGCTGCTGAGCTTCCCTTTCTGTTTTAGTTTGAGACAAAGTCTTAAGTTGCTCAGGCTTGTCTCGAACTCGTGATCCTCCTGCTTCAGCCTCCTGGTCAGCTGAGATTACAGGTGTGTGCCACTGAGGTGGGACAGGAGAAATGAAAGACAGAAAGGAGCTGAGAGCCATGCTGAAGATTGTATGTTTAAGACCGCAGCCTCCGGGACCCAGTGAAGATCCCCAGGCAGATCCTCCTCAGTATTCCCGTGGTTAAATCCAGGCTCCCGCCCACCTGACCCACTGCGCCCTGAGCTCCTCCGGATGCGGAAAGTCCACTGGGCTTCGCTGCTGGAGAGCGGGCTGCTCCTGAGATAAAGGAGTGGGTTGGGCAGATCCAGGAATGCTTGGGCCACCTCTGCCCAAATAAGACCCCCCACACCTGGAGACTGCGCCAGTGCCCTTGGGGCTGGCGCCTGCTCCCCGGTCCCCACCTTCATTCCAGGAAGGGTTCGGGATTTCCCATTTCTCTGCGCGCTGCTCTCTTTGGTCCTAAATCTCTGCCTAGTAAATTCTTCGGAAGGACGGGTTGAGTTCCTCACTTCAGCCTGGTGATCCCCGCTGACGGCCGCCCCGTGCTGCCCCCTCCAGATTGTGGCCGGGCAGGGACCGTGGGCTTCTGTGATGGGGTGCTGTGCGTGTTGCCTGTCCCAGGACCAGGGTCTGTCCTAGGCGGGGACAGCCCCCTTCTGGTCTCCCTTCAGGTGGAGACCTGTGCTCCTGCCTGAGGCCCCCGCGCTGCTGGCCGGCTGTCGTGCTGGGCGGGTGTGGGTGCGCACGGAGGCCCGCCTGAAATGCATCTGACACGGGACCCCTCTGCTGCGCTTGTTGGGGATGGCGGAGTCGCCTGGGGCTCTGGACTTCGGTGTGTTCGTGGCCTCCTGAAGTAGCTGTCACCCGCGGCAGAGATCTGAGCCTGCGCAGGGGTGGCCGGCAGGCTCCGGCTGTCACTGGATTTCCCTGTAGTGAGGTGGTTTCGGGTGCAAGGCTGGCTACACGGCAGGAGTTTTAGTCTCCTGTCTTCGCCAGTTTTATTTCATTATTCTATTACCAGGTTAAATTGCTGTTTGAAATTTCAACGATTTCTTTTCACTAATAGAGTGAATAGGGAATTACCCTAAAATTCACATTTTGTGCGTAAGCACGTGGGTTAACGATGAGGAACTTGGGGCTTGTTGGTATTTTGAAGGGAAGGGTGGACGCGGCCTGGGTCCAGCAGTTGGTCTTCTGAGGGTGGGAGCCGACCTCTCCTCATGTCTCACCTTGCTGCCCTCACGGCCAGGACACTGTCGCACTCGTCTGGCGGCCCCGGGGTCGCCTGAGGCCGGGTGGGAAGAAGTCACCGCTGAGGCGTGAGCGGGGGGCCGGGCGTTTGGGCAGTCGGCCCCGATGCAGAGCTGGCGCTGGCCTGTGGACGCCAGGGGCAGGGAGCAGCCAGGCCCGGGCAGAGGGGAAGCGGGAAACATGAGATGCTGCGCCCGCCTGCAGCAAGGGCCCCTCGGGCACAGCGATGTGCCTTTCTCCCGCCGGGGACGCTCTCCAAGGCGCCTCTGTCCACTGGGAGGGCACCAGCGGGTCCCAGGACCGCATCCCGTCTTGACCGAACTGAGGGTGGCACCGGGGCAGGGTCCTCAGAGCCCCGTTCCCACAGCTCCTGTGGGGTGTGCGTGGCTTCCATCCTGAGTGGTCTGCCTGTGGGGGCCGGCGCCCCAGGAGGGCGGGGCCGTGTGGAGTGGCTGGCAGGGCGCACAGCCTGCGGCGTGTTCCTGTTCGAGTGGCCGCGGTGGCAAAGGTGGTGGAGGCCTAGGCAGATCCAGGGGCAGCGCCGCTGTGTGAGTCCCAGCCCAGCCAGTCCCTGTGCCGAGTGGCAGAAGGCGCCCAGCAGCGGGAGTGACCCCAGGCCCGCTGGGCAGTGCCCCCGCCCGGCAAGGCTGCGTCCATCCCGCGGTGCTCTGTGCTGTGCCTTGTCGGCACACAGCCCTCTGTCCTGGGCAGCGGGTCCCGAACACTTGGTGCCCGCTAGGAGGGCCGAGCGCTTGTGTGCGGCCACCCCCAGCCCTGTCTCCTGTGGGCGCCCACCGGAAGGGCAGGGCTGCGCTCCTCAGAGGGAGTTGTGTGAGCCCTCGGCTGCAGGAGCGCAGGGGCCCCCGCCGTCACGCTGTCGGGTGAGCCACTGGGTCACTTAACCCAACCGCGGGTCTGGCGGCTCGTGGCTCCCCCGAGGGTGGGCTACGCGCATCACTTGTCACACCAGTGGCCAGCCCTGCGTGGATGCCGGACCTGCGCGCCTTCCAGAGGCCCAGAGCAGGAAGTCTTCTGAGGCCCGGGGTGCACAGAGCGAATGCCCCTACCAGGCTGGGACCCAGTGTGCCGCGCGCCCTGCCGTCACCGTGCCCATGGGTGAGGAGAACGTCTGCCTTAGGTCAGGGTGACCCTGGCGGCCACAGGACCGGGTCCCAGTGTATTTGGAGACATCTTCCCTGGGGAGGACATTTGTTCTCTTCTCAGGGCGTTGCTAGGAAACCACCGCTGGGCACAGGCCTCCGCAGTGGGTTTGACTGAGTGGTTCTGCCTTGAACAAACGCCAGGAGGGACACAGACTTGGCGCTGGCAGCACTGCTCTGCTGCCCAGCAGAAGGCGAGGCTCCTGTGCCCGCACAGCCTGTGCCGCTGCTGACCGCGTGGCTGAGGGAGCCCTGGCAGCACCGCTCAGGCCGGGGCTCTCGTGGCTCTCCGCACTGCAAGGGTCGAGTGGACAGAAATCCTGTCGCCAAAAGGCCAGGCTGAGAGTCCTGGGTCTTCGGGCCCCCTCCTCGCTCCTGCTTTGAGGCAGCGTCTTCAGGGTGTCGCAGCCTGGGGTCCGACCACGTCAGATGTCCCTTGTCCTGAGCTCTGCTGCAGCCCCCCAACCCCATGCCTCCCTGGTTGGGCACACAAGACCACGTGAACCCCCAGGACTGGTTTCACGTCTCAGCTCGGGGCTTCTGTTGGAGACCCCCTCCGCAAGTTTCCTTCCTTCATTCAGGAAGTGGGGTGGCCCTCCCTGGTGTAGGTGAGCCCCTGCTCTGGAACATTGTGGCATTTCATTGGCACTGACCTTGGGCTCCTGTAACAGGACAGGTGCCACCGACCCAGAGCACTGCGATGTGGACTCGGCTGCAGGAACGTCGAGCCGCCTGCCCTTGGCTCCTGGGCCCGGCCAGGGGGCGTTCAGGCCACTGGAGGGGCTCGCACACACCTTGGGGCTGCCGCCTCCCTGGGAGCCTCAGGCTGGGCCCTGCCACCCCGAGCTGGGCGTGGAGCTTGGTGCGCTGTCCTGCCCGCTGCAGGCCCTGTGTGGGGCAGGAGGCTGGCTTTCTCACCAGTCTTTGCTGTCGCCTCTTGGCCCTGCCTTAGTGACAGAACCAGACCTCATCATCTTACTGTGTTCTCTCCTAGTGCTCAAGATGCATGCAGTGTGATGCCAAGTTTGACTTTATCACCAGAAAGGTGAGCGGAGGCTGCGGGGAAGGGGAGGCGCCTGGGCTGGACCCCGGCATGCTGAGCCCCTTTCCAACAGCCAGGGACTGGGGAGGGGAGGCTGGGGAGAGTGGTCGGGAGTTCTCGCGTGCGTGGGACCCCGGGGTGCGCCCAGGTCTGCCCAGAGCCCCGTCCCAGCGGTGGCAGCCCAGTGCACGGCATTCTGGGCAGCCGAAAGCCACACAGCACCCCTTTGAGCATTATTTTAAAATAAGGCCTCATTTCCCAGTTGAGGCCGAGCCCCACTGTGTGAAGACCCCTGTGAGGGACTCGTGTGGAGGTGCACTGGGTGTCCTCGCAGCGTGGCCAGCGCCAGGCCCTGCTCACCGCCCCTCCCCCTTGCCAGCACCACTGCCGCCGCTGCGGGAAGTGCTTCTGCGACAGGTGCTGCAGCCAGAAGGTGCCCCTGCGGCGCATGTGCTTCGTGGACCCGGTGCGGCAGTGCGCGGAGTGCGCCCTGGTGTCCCTGCGGGAGGCGGAGTTCTACGACAAGCAGCTCAAGGTGCTGCTGAACGGTAAGTGTGCCGACGCAGCCTCCTCCCCGTGTCCCGCTGTGGTTGGGAAGAGGGTCGTGTCCTGTTAGACGTCTCACCCCTCCCCGTTTCCTTCCGGGTTCATCTAGGAGAGATGGAAATGCTGCCTGAAGTGCCAGCTCTGGCCTCACTGGGCACGGGCAGGAAGGTGCATGCTCCCAGCCCTTCTTGGGGCTGTGGCCCTTGGAGACTGGCAGTGGTAGCAAGGGCAGAGCTTGGCTCTGAGCCACGTCCCGGGAGGGAGTGAGGGCGAAGGGGGCGTCCTCCTGAGGGCCAGGTGTGCCGCCCACCCCTCCCAGCCACAAGCCCGTGCAGACCGTGGGGCCGGGGCAGTGGGCTTCGTGCTTCTTGGTGCCTCCTTCCAACTGTGTGGGTCCTCCCGGCTGGCTCTTGCAGTAGGGGTGACTATCTGGGTGTTGATGAATACCTCTGCCCTTGCCTGTTGGGGTCACTCTAGGAGCTTCGTAGGCAGCAGAGCATAGCGGCAAAGCAGTGAGTGCCCTTTGCTTTACTTCTCTGACCCTAATCCAGTGCTGCCTCTCTGCTCGGTGGAGCTGCTGCACTTGTCTCTGGAGGATCAGCCTGGGAGGGAGAGTGAGACTGGTGGTGAGCCTAAGGCACGCGTGCCGCAGCGGGGCCGCTCGTATCGTTGAGGGCTAAGTGCTCCCCGTCAGCGGTATAAGAGCAGGTCACATTTGCACGTTTGGTTTTGTCTCTCAAGGAGCCACCTTCCTTGTAACTTTTGGAAACTCAGAGAAACCTGAAACCATGGTTTGTCGTCTGTCCAACAATCAGAGGTAAGAGCCTTCGTGGCACTGGATGGCACTGCCAGGGGCTACTGTCTGCAGGGCTGCCATGGAGTGCCTTTGTTCGCACAGATGCCTGATTCTGGATGGGCACAGCCACTGTGAAATCGAAATTGCACACATCTCCACAGTGCAGATGCTCACCGAGGGATTCGCTCCTGGAGGTACATGCTGTGTCCTTCCTGGGTGCAGGGTTTGGGGCACTGCACTCGGGCCCTCTCTGTGGGTCGTAGTTAGCCTGTGGCTTTATCTTTAGCGCTCACCAGGTGCGGGGCTTAGCCTGGAGGGTTTGAGGAGGGTGGCCGGGGTGTGCTGCAGCGGGCGGCTGTGCAGATGGTTTCACTCACTGCTGGTCAGGCTTCCAGTGCAGTAGCCAGGGCTCCCCGAAGGGTCTCGAGTGGAGGCTGCCAGGGAACCAGCGCACAGGCCTGCTGTGCCCAGCTCCGGGGTTACCGAGGCTTGACCTTCCCCCGGGACGGCACACTCCCGCTCCGAGTGGACCTGACCCACCTCCCTTCCTGTTCTGACTGGCTCTTGCTTCCTCCTCTCCTCTGCTGCCTATCTTCCTGATGTAGAAAAAGACATTCACACTCACACCAGCCTCCTGGGGAGCCAGCCCGCCTCTGAAGGTCAGCCGCCCCTCAGAACGCCGAATGCTAGGTCTCCGGCCACCTGGCTGGTCCGTGGGTGTGGTCCACGCCAGGGTTCCCTGTGAGGCTCCCCGTCACACCTTTGGTTGACGGAAGAGACTGTGTCCAATGTATGGGTCAGTGACAGAGTACCCAGTGGAAGGGAACATTCTATTCAGGGGGGAGTGTGGCAGTTGATCCCCCTGAGCAGGCTGGGGCCCGGGGTGCACGAGGCATGCGCGCTTCTACCACCGCCCCTCCCTGCTGGCTCACGGTGCCCTCTGGGGCCCTGGGTTCCCTGCTTCTCTGCCGCGAGGCCAGTGTTGTGCTGCCTGTGCCCTGCATAGCTGACTAGAGACACCTGATGTGAACACAGGCTCTGGAAACGCTGGGAGCCGGTTCTGGAGTCAGGGAGCCTGAGGCACGGCTTGGACTCAGTGCAGCCCTCCCCACCCAGAGGCGGCAGTGGGAACGGGGTAGCCTCTGGCCAGGTGCTGCATGCACAGCCTGACCTTGGCTGCCTTCCTGGGCAGGCCTGGGGCTGCTGACATTGTGTGACTTTGGAAGCAGTGACCCTGTTCTCCCTAGTGTTTTCTTAAGACCCTTGAGAGTCCCAGAACCCGGTCTTCCTTTGCAGATGAGGGCGTGGATAATGTGCACTGTCCCTTGTGCCGAAGCAGCCTGAGCTGCCTCACCCTAGCCTGGCCCGGTAGAGTGGCCGAGCACACGTGCAGTGCAGGGCCAGAGAGTCACTCCTGGCTGGCCTGGCTCAGCACAGATGCCCTTGAGAACAGAAGTGCGCTGACAGGAGTGGCTGCTGGAGTTCTGGGGGGAGCTTCAGCTGCCCAGGCCACACACGGGTCCCTGGGCTTTGGAAACGGGGTGTGGCTCCTAAAGGAGTGGGGTGGGGTGGTCTCAGTGGGGGACCACGGTGGCCTCTGACTTCTAGCCATGATGGCTCGGCCTGGCCTGTAGTGAGGTGGCCCCTGCTTTCTGCAGCCCGGCCAGGTGTTGTCTTGGGGTTTCTGAAGGCAGACATGGAGGTCCTGTGGGACTCAGGAGGCCTGTCCAAGAGCAGAATCCCCGGTGGTCTGGTGATGTGGCTTTGTTAGGCTGGCTGACATGTGCCTTCCTCCCTATGAACTGGGACCTCCCATACTGTGTCCCCAAGTAGCAGAGTGGGTGATGGCCCGCCACCACTGACCGGGGCTTTGCCGGGCCTGTACCTGTCTACTCTCCAGCAGGCAGTGCCCGGGCTGCAGGCATGTGCTTGCAGTACACGGTGCCAGGGTCCGAAGGCGCGGCCCAGCTGAAGCTGATGGCTGGGGAGGACGGGAATGCCAGCAAGAGGCCGGCAGCAGCATGGCTGGCAGCTATGCACAAGGTACTGTGCCTGGGCAGAGGGGGGCCTGGGCGCGGTTCCAGAGCCAGCGCTGCCCCACCCGGGTGGCCCACACAGCCCTGAAAGGCACCCAGGCTTAGCTGTGGACAGGATGGTTGTGCTGCGCCACTTACTTTTGGTCACCCTGCAGGCCACCAAGCTCCTCTACGAGTCTCGGGACCAGTAACTCACATGTGAGCAACTGCAGCGTGTCTGGTCACCTTGAGCGCGCCCCAGCTGCTGGCCTCGCTGAGCACCACAGGGCCGACCAGGCTTGTGCTGGAAATGCGACTCGAGTGTTGGGAGACACAAGGAGTTCACTTAGTGCAATATGTACACAGTTTATTAACGCTTTAAACAGCTCCTCATGCCTTAGCGTTTGTCTTTATCCTGTTGATTGTACTGGAGGTGGGCGAGGCTGAGCTACACTACTGCTAACCCGTTTTCAGCATAACCAGTACCATGTTTCTGAGCTCCCAGTGTCCCCTAGCGCTCCCCGTGACCTCCCCACAGACCTGGACTGGGCGGCGCTCACTCGGGCCGGGTGAGGCTGAGCCAGCACTAACTGGGGCAGTGAGCCACACTTTGACCCTTCACTACGCAGAAGGCTCCAGCTGTTTTCTACTTTTCACTTACTATCTCACTTTATTAAAATGATGGTATAGCAATTTGTATATAAAGCATACAATTAAAACCTATTTTGAAAATACGCACCGGGCTCTGGCCTCTCTGTCCAGCATGTGGTTTGTGCCCCATCGTGCTGTCTGCAGAACACAAGACTCGCAGCCAGGTGCCAGACAGCAGTTTATTGTGCACATTGACACGGCATCAGCAGTGCAGGGCACAGGGTGCTTGGCCCCACATCCTGGTGAGTCACCGCTCAGAGTGACGATGGCGGCGCTGCACCCATGAATCTCCACGTGTTTATACACAGATATGCACAAGACCACACATGGAAAGGAAAGCCTGGGGTCTGTGTTTTAATGAGAAAAAACTCTTCCAATGCAGCTCTGGCAGTCTGGAGTGGTCCAGGGGACAGCCGTGTTGGTGTCTAAAAGGCCCATCCACAGTGCAGGCTGGGGCAGGGCCTGTGGCATGGCACGCAGATACCTGGAGCTCAGGCACTGTGTCCGGGCAAGCCAGCAGCTGCTGCCCATCGAGCGCCAGCGAACTTCCTCCAGCGGCCCAGCCCTGTCCTCCTAAGCCCTGCCCCATGGTGCCACAGACTCCAGGGTCTCTGCACTCACTGGGAATGAATTCTGGCTGTGCAGCTAAAGGCTTAGGGGCCAAAGGATCACACATCCTGGGGCATGGAAGACTGGCACAGGGTCAGCAGGAAGCAGCACCCCCAAATCAGCCTGCAGGGGGCCCTAGAGGACACACGCATCAGACAGTTTCTACCCAGGACTCCTTTGGTCGCGAAAGGGAAGGATGATGGAGAGGGAGGAGGAGGAGAAGGCAGATCCACTGTGGGTGGGGCAACATCTAGCACTGGCGGTCAGAGCTTATCTTCATGGGCAGCCAACCAGGGGTCAGGACAATGACAGGGCTTCTTACTGGCGACAGGGGTAGGTGTTCTGAAAGCTGAGTATTTATTTGGATTTGTAGTCATTGGCAAAATTCAGTCTTGGAGGCAAAAGTACCTCTCCCAGTTAACGGTCAGACTGGAGAAGGGGCCTCACCTGGGAGATGTGGGAATTCACATTGTGGACGCTGTCTGCCAACGTGAGCACCGTGAGGCCGCCCCAGCTGCAGTTCTCCTGGGGACAGCAGAATCGCCTCCAGCGGCTCCTGGGTGCTCCGAGGGGAAGTTTAGGCAAGCGTTCGCTGCCGGGGCTTGATCCGTGGATATAACTGGGGAGCAAGAAATTCACATCAGGGCCAGGAAGTGACCTGAGTGGACTCACCCCTGCATCAGGCACTCCTGGCCCTGGACACTGCCTCTGGGAGCTGTCTTGGAGGTGCACGGCTTGTCCCTTCCTCTGGCCAAAACTCAGCAGTTCCCTCTCCCCCAAGACCCTCTTAGCCCCATTTTACATTGCTGCACCCCACAGTACCCGTCCCAGCTCTCACAGCACTCTATACCCTAAAAATTGCCGCTGTGCTGGGCTCCCAGGGTGCAAGCCTGAGACGGCAGATATGCTCTTGGCTCGCATCTTGGAGGCAGGAAGGTCAGGAGTGAACAGGGGGCACCTGCCAGCCCGCTGCCATCGTGAACGCAGCCCCAGCAACCTGTGGCCCCAGCCCTGACTGGTGCAGATATTTCTGGGCTGCAGAGCCCTGTGGCAGAAGCTCTCAGTGGCGGCCTCGTCACCTGGCAGAGCCCGGCACATACAGACATGGAGCAGCACTTGGCCGGTCTTGGTCTGCGCAGCCTGAGCACGCCTTTCAGGGAAGGGGCCTGCTGTGGGCAAAGTGTCCTGCCCGGTCCCCAGTACACCCCGACCACGCCTGCAAGTGGTGCTGCGGCCCATGCGTGAGGAAGCCGGGCCTCCGAGCGCTGAGTCTTACCCCCAGCAGGTTTTTGGGCACGTAGCCTTCCCGGTCCCCAAGGCGAGCCCACCACCACTCAGTCTCGCTTTCGTCCTTGCGTCTCAGGACGGTGATGGCATCCCCTTCATGGAAAGTCAGCTCGTCGCTGTTCTGGGCCTCGTAGTCCCAGAGGGCGTACACCACGCCTTTGTTCATTACTCCCAGTTTCTCCTGAACTCCTGGTAGCAGAGAGCAAGAGTCAGGCCCAGCAGAGGGCAGTCCACGGGCAGGAGCCCAAGAGGACACCGATGGGTGCACTGCTGATGCCAGCTGGGTGAGACCGGGGCTGCCCTACCCAGTGCTTCTTCAGACCCAGCTGCAGCCCCTTGTCTTAAAGTGTGCAAACCCTGGCCATCTCTTGGTATCCACAGGGATAGCTCAGGAACCCTGCAGACACCAAAGCCCTCAGTGCTCAGGTCCCCTTACAGGAGGTGGTGGTGCTTGAGTGTATAACCTACGAGTATCCGCCCTAAACTTGAAATCATCTCTAGGTGACTTCTGTTGGCTAACGCAGTGAAAGTGCTAGGCAGACAGTGGCTGTGCTGTGCTGGTCGGGGAATAATAATAAAGTCTGTGTTCATGACAGTCACAACTTTTTTTTTCCCAAATATTGCTCTTTTTTTTGTTTGTTTTCCGGTACTGAGAATCAAACTCACGACCTCGTGCTTGCCAGGCAGGCACTGTGCTGCTGAGCTAAATCCCCAGCCCCCTCCCAAATATTTCAATCCACAATTGGTTGAATCTGTACCTACAGAACCTGACTGTGCTGCTAAAATCTGGTGCCCAGGGTAAAGGTGTGCTCTTCTAAAACATACTTCCTCAGGTGAAACTCGAAGCTTGTGCTGGAATAAACTCACAAGTCAGCAGCTGAAGGAACTGTGTCTGCTGCAACACATGGGTGCCCGGGACAACCTGAGCCCTGGCTGCTGAGCGCATGCAAGCCCATGAAGCTGCTGGACTGTTCTCAGAAAGTGCCTCTGTGGCCCCGAGGCTTCTGCGGGCCAGGGCAGTCCCTGCCTGGGGCCCTCCTCTCCTCTACTGTCCTCTCTGGCTGTAGCAGCTTCATCAGGACATGAGCTTCTCTCATCAAATGGCTCCTGGGACAAACGACTAACCTTAGGCCAGGGCAGGGACAGAGTGGCCCTGCTTTAAGTGCTGGTGCGCCCACCAGCAGGTGTGCACAGTGCTGCCTGACCCCACCCCAGCTCCTCTGCACTAAGGTTCCCACCCAAAGCACGGCAAGGTCACCCTTCCTCAGCACCTAGCACAGGGTCTCTGTCCCAGTGTGGGCTCTGACCGTGTTCAGAGTGAGAAGAACAGTGTGCCCTCCTTTGGAGCAAGACGTCCTGGCTGCCCCAGGAGGCAGGCGTGCAGCCAAGTGGATTTCTGGGTGCCTGGGCACAGCATCGCCACAGCAGCACTGTGGCACCTGGTGTCACTTACGGGGGAGGGGGCTCCCTACATACCATAGAGGAACTGAGAGCACTGGATGTAGCCTTCCTCCATCTCTTCGCATTTGTCCGCAGCAGTCTCGATGTCACTGATAGTCGAGGCAAAGATGGCCGCGCCGCTCTCCACCAGCTGCTTGCACAGGTGCACGCTGTTGCAGGAGGCGGCGCAGTGCAGCGGCGTCCTGGAAGCAGAGCAGTGAGGCTGCAGCGGCACCCCCATGCGGCTGCCGCCTTCCCGTGAGATGCGCTGTCCAGGAACCCCGCGGGTGAGGCCATGCCTGTGCTAAGTGTCAGGTTTCACAGGAGACAAGCTTTTTACCGACCAGCTATTCTGGACCATGTATGAACTGGGAATCAGGCTGACAGACACTCTCACTGCATGGCGTCGACACACAGCGCGACACAGCCGCCTGTGAGGACGGCCACGACGGCAACCTGCATGTGAGGACGGAAGTGTGCTTCCGCACAGCTGTGAAAAGGAGCTGTGCAAGCACAGCAGGATGAGAGCTACGTGCAAGTCCAAGATGACCTCACAGCAGAGTGCAGCAGGACCCTGGCCCCAAGGCAAGGGGAACCAATGCGAACACCTCGGTGTCCAGCAGAGGGACTCTGGTTGCTGTCCACACATTCATACGGCTGTATCCATGCGGGGTCTCTGGAAGGAGGAAGACTGAACAACTGGCAGAATGTGTGGATGGGATGTTGACGCGGCACAGGCGGAGCATGCGCGCGCCTGTCTTGAACTGAACAAGCCGGAGGAAAAGCTGGGAAGGCGGGCATCAGAACACTGACAGCCAGGGCCCGGGCATGGAATGACAGAGTTCTTGCTCGCTTACTTCCACACTCCCGGCTTTCTAAATGAGCATGTTCCAGGAGACGGGATAGGGAAGGGGAGGTAACAAAATTTCAGATGTGCTGCGTACACGCACGCACTCTGTACACGGACTGCCATCACTGTGTACTGCAAACACAGACCTAACGCTGTTTTATGCACGTTTCCCTTCAGAAGGTAGGAAAATGAGCGCGCCACACCCTTAGGGCCCTCACCATCCGTCGCTGTCAGCAGCGTTCACATTGACCCCGAAGTCCAGCAGGAACTTGACGATGTGGTGGTGGCCAGCACAGACGGCATTGTGCAATGGGGTGATCCCCTCGTCGTTGGGCTTGCTGGGGTCCTCCACCTGGGACACGGGGCACGTGAGAGTCTGCCATCCCAGACCACATCCGCCCGCAGCACAGGGTGCAGCTCACCTCATAGATGATCCTCTGCACCAGGTCAAACTCGCCTTCCAAGGAAGCGTCTAGAAGCAGCGCCAGGGGATTGAAGCGCACTCTCAGCCCGTGCCCTGTCCGCTCTGAGTTGGGCTTCTTCAGGTTGGTCCGTTTACTCTGCAGGAGGAAGTGTGCTTTCAACATCCAAGTGACCACCCGAAGTGGAACCAGCCAAGACCAGCACAAGAGGATGGTGGAACCGAGCACCTGGCGACAACTCTGCCATGAGGGCCCAGTGCGTGCAGAGCCCTGGGTTCCTGCTCACAGCAGGAGCAGCTGGCTTCAACTGCCAGCTGCTCCTCCCGGAGGGCCCTGTGTGAGGAGGTATGGTCTGCGATGCTGGCTGAAGCCATACCCAAGGGAGCCAACGGCTCAAACCTACCCTACGCAACAGGATCTGCCACCAGAGACCCCCGAGGAGGCCCTGCTAAGGTTCCGAGGAGAGCCTGGCCCTCCCTCCAGGCATCTGTTTACGGGGCTCATCTCTCCCTCTCTGCCTGTTCTCCAGGTCCCAGTGGAAGCCCACCGGGGCACCAGCTGGGCCTTCTCCATGTCCCGGGATCTGCATGATCACCTGGCCACCCTCCCTCAGCCTAACTCTGGGCACAGGGACACCCTGATTGACAGCCCCCACACAGCCAATCCAGACCAGCGCGAGGGGAGGCTGGGCATCGGTCTTGCAAGGACACCCACCACAGAGGCTGCCGGAGGGTGGATGACAGGGGGCAGAGCTGCCAGGGGGATTTGCTCTTCCACTGGAGATGGAGCCTCGGCCACCGGGCTGGGGATCTGCTCTGTGGAGGGGACTGTGGCTACATTGTTGTTATTGTCCTCTGTAGGCTCCACAGTTTGGGGGGTTGTTTGTGGGCAGATGAGCTCCTCCGGTTCAGGGGAAGGTAGCTCGTTATCGTTGGCATCTGAGGAGGGGGCAGGCTCGTCAGATAGTGGGACCGTGGGCTGGGCTGGGGTGGGCTCATCCAGGTTGCCGTTGGCATTGGTATTTCCATTGTCCATGTCAGCCAAAGTGCCCACAAAGTCCTGGGACGGGCTGGGCTGGTAGAATGGTGTGCCCTCCATGCCCCCAGCCAGCGTGTTGAAGCGCTGGTATAGCAGCTTCTGGATGTTGGGCCCGCCAGGGCCCTCAGGTTCTGTGATGGAACTGCGCTTCTTGAGGGGCCGGGGCGCGTTGGCCAGCTTCCGGCGCAGGGCCTCCAGGTCCGCGTCGCTCTGATAGCGCAGTGGCGAGTGTACGATGGGTGTGAGCTTGGTGGGGCTGAGGGGCCGCGGGAGGCTCTCCACCGCGCTGCCCTCGCCAGGTGCGGCTGGGCCCTCCGGCTCGGGCTCTTTCTCCGCACATTCTGAAGACGGCTGGGGCTGTGAGGACCCGTGGAGAAACGGTAAGGGTGATGGAGATGTCGACCCTGACGGTAAGACGGGCTTGCCATATACTGGAGGAGACAAAAGAGGGAATAATTTCAGACCAGCGGTTGCGGCCGGGGTCCAGTCCCTGGCACCAACTCCACGAGGGACTCTTGCTGCTGCCGCCAAGCCCTGACTTACGTTCCCAAGGGAATCTCTGCCAAGCGCCTCCACAGGCTCCTTTCTAAAGGCGTTTCTCTCCTGTGCTGGGATTTACATTTCGGTTTCCAGAACTGGGCTTTTGGTGTGTGCAGTACTGGGGTTTGAACTTAAGGAGCCCTGAGCTAAATCCCCTATTTTGAGACAGGGTCTCACTAAATTGCCTAGGCTAGCCTCACACTTTTGGTCCTCCTGCCTCAGCCTCCCAAGTAGTTGGGATTACAGGTGTGTGCCATCACACCTGGCTTGCACTGGGCTTTTTCAAAAGAAGAAAATCTTGATTTGACTTTCTCTGCTTCAAAGAAGCCTGCCTTGCTTTCTGGCCAAGGCAAGAGAGGAAACCACTAAGTGTGTCTCTGAGCCTTGACTAACTCAGGTTGTGAAGAACAAACCCCACCCCAGCCCACAGCAGGGAGTTTTGACCTGAAGCTGAGGTGCGTTCCCCATGGCGAGAATGCTGCCCACAAGTAACACTGTGTATGTGGCTGGCACACCCAGGAACTCCTCAACCATGAGTCTGGGTGCTACAGCTGGTGCACAGTCATGCCTGGTGAGGTCCCAACCCAATCCTGGTGCACAGGGTCTCCCTGCTGGGTTTAAAAACACTGCTGATCCCTGTGGGATGTGTGGGACTAAGCTCCAGTCTCTACCTGTCTTCCCAGAAGACCCTGCTCTGTCACCCACCAGGGCCTGGGAGGAGGCTCCTGGCGGCAGAGGCCCTCCTCCAAGCGCCCATGCTAGGGCTTGGGCTCAGTCATGGGCGAGGGGCCCGGGAAACAGTGGTTAAGTGAGGGCCTAGCCCTGCTTACAGACAGCTCCTGGCCCAAGTGAGCATGAACAGAAAGAAAAAGCACATTCCTGGAATCTCGCCCTTCCAGGGGCTGGGTCTCCTAAGTAGCACAGGGAGGTGGATGCTCGGACGGGAAGTCATCGAGCAGCCACCCACCTACAGAGCAGCTCAAGAGTCTCAGCTTCTCATCCCGCCTCACACTGATGCCTGAGGCCTGACTTTATGTAACAATTAGACTTATCCTACGTAGCATGTGGTCCACATGTAAGGATGTGGACTCTCATTTTTTTTACTTAAACTATACTTTCCTAGCCCCAAGAAAAGGAGGATGTAGCCCACCGTACCTGCTTTCACTGACTTGTTCAAGGCGCCGTGCACCGCGGGCTGGTAATTCTTAGGTGGCGTGGCTTGCTGGAGGTACATGGAGTATATGGAACTTGAATTGACCGTCTGGGGTCCTTTCCTAGGAGACTGTGGTCTTGACCCTTTATCAGCCAGAAAAGGTCTAATGGCCACCGTCAGTGGGAGTTCAGGTTTGCCATCTCCGGCTGGAAATGCAGGTGGCCCTGCTGGTGGGTAGGTGGGACTTGGTGGCACAGAAATCCTCTGCTGAATCTGCTGTGAGGAGCCAGGCTGGGTGGTGCTGCCTGCTGGGGGCAGTGGGGCGGGTTTCTGCCGACTTGGTGGGCCTGCACTGGGTCGGGGCAAGCTCCCCTCTTTCCTTCTCTCCAGAGAACTGGTCGACCCTGGGCCCAGGGGTGTAGGGCTTGGGTATGTCCCATAGCTTGGAGGCAGCGGTTTGGCTATGCCAGGGATGGGAGGTGGCCCTTTGCCAATCTCGATGCCCTAAATTTAGGTGTTGAGAAGAAAAACAAAGTCACCCTTTGAAAAGTTAAGCATATTTCTACCCACAGCTACAAGAGAATACACAGTAGGATTTGTAATCTGCAAACCGGTTTGTGAGCAGGACACAGGGCACACTGTTGGGCTCACGGCTGGTCTGCAAAACTGAGGCCAGAGGCCAGAGGGGCCTGCAGATGTGCACTGCCCAGCTTTCTAGGCTCAGGGGTAATGTGCCCACCAACAGGATTAATTCACCTCATGACACCGCCCAGCCTGAGGTGAAGACTCAGCAGTGGGGCAGTTTTAGGCCTGTGCTCTGCAGGAAGGACAGGTGGCCTACCAGCTTCTCTGTGGCTCCTAGCGCCGATAAGGGCAGAGGCTGGCTCGAGATGGCGCCCTGCTTCAGGGCCCCCTCCATGCCTGGCTCCTTCCAGTCTGTGCCTGCCATCTGCGCTGGCTTTACCGAAGAGCCGGAATTCTGCTTTAATGTAGGCCAGTTGCCATCATTAGCTTGAAAAGAACATAGAATTTAACTGAAGTTGGTTCTGAAACAAAGTGAACCAACGTAAGAATGACACCCTCCAGAAACAAAGATAGCACTGGCATTTTGCATTCTAGAGGAGCTCCTGTAACCAGACAGCGACCACCACCCATGCCAAGCCAGGACCCTGCTTAGGGGCCCACAGACCAGGCCCAGGCCAGGGCCCTCTGTGGCTAGCTCTTAGCCAGCGTGGACACCACGGCTCGGTCAGCCGAGGTACACAGGGCACACCCCCTTGAAGCACAGGTCAAGCCTGTTACGTCCAGGCCAGATACAGCAAATGCTGGCGCTTACTTCGCAAACACCACTGACACATACAGCTGCATGCCGCAAGAAGAAAGGTTTTTTTGTATTTTTAAAGTTTATCTTCTGATTTCGTAACAGGTTTGACCTGTTCTACATCCATGATTAAAACTACTCCTCTAACATGAGGAATCCTTTTCACCTAAAATAATCTGTGCTCCCAGGAGGCCATTACAAGATCCCTTTGAGCTGGAGAAGGAGGAATGGTTATCATTCTGTTGCAGTGATCAGAAAGGCAGTCACAACCCAAGATGCCGGGAAAGCCACTGAAAAGATTTATTTTTATAGAGCATTTTCCAAACTGACAATGGGTGCTGAGGCCCTGTCTCGTCACAGAGGGTCACGCATGTGGTGTCTGGGGGTCACTGTATGCCCTGACTCATGCGTCTCTGCCTGTTTGGAGCTGTCTTCCCCAGTCAGGGCTCTCTGCCTGGCAGCAGTCTGGGCACACAGACATCAGCACAGGCTGGCAGATAACTGAGCAGCAGCAGGAAACCACCGGATCCTGTATCATGCTTGAGCAAACTTTTTTGAGTCCTAACACAGTGAGTGAGCTTCTCAAACGTGCTGCGCAAGTAGGGAGGACACACGCACAGAGCTGTGCACAGCCTGCTCCCAAGCCACCACCTGGCTGGGCGTGGTGGCACACGCCTGTAATCCCAGCACTTGGGAGGTTGAGGCAGGAGGATCGTTCTGAGTTCGAGACCAGCCTGGGCCACAAAGTGAGCTCAAGGCCAGTCTGAACTCCATAGTGAGATCCTGTCTCAAAAAGACCAAAAAAAAAAAAAAAAAAAAAAAAAACAAAAAACCAAGCCACCACCTGGCCACAGTGGCACTGCCACCCTGTCATACTCCTTGCTGCTGTTTTGCCCTGCTGAGCAGGACTCCAGGCAGCAGGGCCACGTGGGTCTGCGAGGCATTCCAATTCCCAGCACAAACTGTCACCTTACTTCATGCAGCCCATGGCCTCTGTCAGGCCAGTGTGTGTGCTTTCACCTCCTCCTGACTTTATCTCACAACCAGAGGTGGTGTGAGCTCCAAGAAACTCGCAGGAGGTTCCAAGACAAAATGTGGGTCTACCTAGACCCCCGGCTGGGGCGGGCCAGGGCCTGGACTTTCTGCCCTCTCAGGGCCACAGGACAGTGGCTGCTTACCAGCTTGTGAAACCCTACAGTAGTGGGTTTTATGGAAAGCAGCCATGGGGAGTGAGAAACAGCCTTCCTTCCTTTAGGACAAGGTGGGATGTACAGAGGACCTCCTACTTTTATTATAGAGACACTGTCTTTTAATTGTGATGGCAGATTTTTGCCTTGACAAACTCAAAGTCTCAAAATGAACTCAGAAAATCATGTTAACTTTTGAAAAACAACCAAAGAAAACCCTTGCTGTGCTAGCACCTGTCACCTGGTGTGCAACCCTCTCTGGAATGACCAGGTGTGCTCCCTAACTCAACACCACTGGTGAGGAAGGGACTACGCGACTGTTTTCAAGTCTAGAGGTTAGAGCGGACCTTTGTCAGTTTGGAAAAACGCATGATTGTTGATTCAGCTGTTGGAGGAGGTCAGAGTCCCCTGAGCCTACTGGCTGACATACGGTTTACAAGGGGGCTTGCAGAGTGTTGTGAGAGGACGTAGCTGGGCCCGACGTCCAGGTCTGACACTGTCCATGTGCTGGTCACTCTGGGTCTACTGTGGCCATCTGTGTGACACAGAACCAGGACAGCCAGCAATGAGGGGTTAGAGTCCCCACCAGGCGATGTCACAGTCAGCTCCACATCTGACAGTCTCCCCCCAGCTCAGAGAGACACAGGTTCCTGTGGCCAGTCCCTTTACACCAGCAAAAGGCCCAAGGAAGGACCCAGGACAGGCTCCTTATAGCGGCATCTTCTGGCAACCCTGTGAGGTGGCCCAGCACACACTGCAGAGAAGCCTGTGGGAGCGGAGACGTCCCAGCTGAGGAGTCCTAACAATGAAGCTAGCAGAGAAGAAGCAGTAGTGCTATCTGCCACACTCCTGGCACAGACAGGCATGGCAGACTGCAACAGCTTATCAAAGAACACTGCTTCGAGCGCACACGCTGCCACGGGGCCCACGTGGCAGCACGAGTGAGGCAGGCGTGGTGTTGCTCTGAGAGGTGGAGGCAGGGGATGAAGCTCTGGAGCCGCGCCTGGGCAATTTTGTGAGACCTTGTCTCCAAATAAAAACTGAAAAGGTAAAGGCTGGGGAGGTAGCTCAGTGCAAAGGCCTGGATTCAGCTGCGAAGGAGACAGAGAGAGACAGAGACAGAGACAGAGACAGAGATCTGAACATGGCTCTTGCCCACAAGACCTGGCAGTGCCCTTCTTCCCCCAGATCCAGAAGGAGCCCTAAGCTCTCCAGTGGGAGCAGCAGTGCCACCACATACTAGGTACCAAGCATGAGAAAGTGACACAAACAAAAGACTGGTACAAACTGGTAACCAATTCCAAAAAAAGAACTCAAAAACAGGCCCAACAGCAGAACAGCAGCACTGCTTTCTTAAACAAAGGACTGTCTTGCCACGCCAGGGCCTGGGCTCCTGGGGCTGCTATCATAGGGAATGAGTCTGCCCCAGTCCCAAAGGGGATCTCACTGTGAGGAAGCCTGGACTTCTCAATGTGCTGCTTAAAAAACCACCTATGAAGAGCTGCCACGTACACAGCTGTGCAGAGACAGCAACGTCTGTGAAGACCAAGCCACGCAGGAGCAGGCAGGTGTCCCTGCCAGCCCCAACTGTGCTGGGAGCAGCAGCAGGCGGGGCCTGGCAGCGGTGCGGCAGCTACTTGGCCAGAACACCCTTGGGGGTACACAAACTTGTGCTGAAGGGCACTGCTTTACTCCATTCTTTCCATTTTGAAAAGCCACAGTAGCAACCTTAAATCAGTAAAGAAATTTCTTCTCATTTTAGCATCATTGTTACTGTGGTAACAAACAGCTCCCCAAACACTGTCCCAGGAGACTAGGGCTGGTGCCTCACACAGGGCAGGTCCTAAGGAGCCTCTCCTTTGTGCTGCTACTGTTCCCATGCCACCCCAGCCCGGGGCCAGGGCCACTCACCAGATTTAGATCTCCCGTGCGCAGCGCTTGAGGCAACAGTGAGAGACTGGGGCTTCACAGGGTCCCCCGGGACAGGGTAGGTTCCAGCACTGGGGACTTGGATGTAAGGCCCCACAGCAGCAACTCTGCCGGACGTGCTCAGGGGCGACTGCGGTGACGATGTGCCGTTCACACGGTTTAGCTGCAAATTGGGAGAAAGAGTCAGGGTCCTCCCAAGTCAAGTGCTAAGCCCAAGCAGCTCAGCGGAAGCCGCTCCGTGGCCAGTCTGCACCGGGAAGCCCTTGCCCTGGAAGAGCAGCACCTGGAGGAGAACTGCACAGCAGGACTTAGCCCAAGAGCAGGACCTGCCCACAGCCATGCAGCTGCTGCCTCTGGAAACACTGCCTACTGGTGCGCTGTCAGAACCAGGAGCCGCCACAAGAACGGCACAGCTCCCACTGACCACGCGCTGCTTCCATCCTCCCCCGGGTGGTCATTCCTCCCTGGGACAGAGGCACTGGTCAAAGTGTGTGCTCTGAGCACAGCTTCACATCCTGCTCTGCCTCTTACTCCATGCACTGCCTAAGGCAGCAAGGACTTCCCTTCTGTGACCCCCGTGCCTGAGCCTGTAAAGTGGGGGGAAAGAGGACACGGGATGCAGGGCTCTGACCCTTGGCAATGAGCCTGGCTGCTGAGGGCAGCTCTACCTTTCTGAGCAAGGACACAGCCACAGAGGACACTGGCCACACAGTGTGCCCAGGAACATAAGCGTCTGCATCGGGATTCTAACTGAGGAATCGCTGACTCCCTCAGTGGGCCTATGGAGGATCCATAGCCACCTGCAACTGTCTGCACAGTTCTGCACTGTGAGCCTGTGTCCTTGCAGAGAGCGCTCAGAAGTACCAGGATCTGCAGTGGAGACACAGCTCTGCAGATGTGCCGACTTCTTCCATGCCAGGGAGAACTGGTCTCGCTGGCTGTGTGCGTCAACTTGGCCAATCCATGGGAACATGACATTTGGTCACACACCAACCCAGATGTTGCTGTGAAAGCACGTTTAGATGGGACTAACACTTAAATCAGCAGACTATGCAAGGCAGATACAGGGAAAGTGGGCCTCATCCATGCAGTGGGACGTCTCCTAGGAGAGAGGATTCTACAGTAGGCGGCCTTGGACTTGAGATGTGGAAGCAACTCCCTGGGGCCCACCCAGTGTAGTCTGTTCTGCAGGGTTCTGACTTTCCGATATCTGAGCACAGGAGCCCATTCCTGCAGGACACACATGCTACTGGTTTTCCCTGAAGAGCCCTGACCACTGCCCCTAAGTAAGCATGCAGTATGTATGTGTGTGGTCTCTCCCAAGGCCTCTGAATTGACAATCTTGAAAGAAAAAGAAAAGAATCATCTAAAATTATACTAACACGAACCACTGACCTTTAAAAGCTCCAATTTTTTTTTTTTTTTTTTTTTTTAAGGTAAATCTGTAACTAGGAGGCTGACTGCAAGGCCCACAGAAGTGGCTGCTGCTCTCTTCTGCCACTGTCCAGGTCCATTTCTCCTAAGCAGATCCCCTAAAGCCCAGGCCTCCCTCCCCGAAGCATCCCCCAGAGGAGCACAGGCCGGCAGGAAGACATTCTCCTGCTACCCAACCATGAAAGCAACAGGTTCTGAGGGCACACAGGAACTCTGGGAAGATAGACTATCATCAGCCCTGACAGCCAGCCATTAGAGAAGTCAAGTGCCACAGCCAAAGACACACAAGGGTACATGCATGTGCTCAGCAGTGTGTGTTCCCTAGCACACCGAGTGGGGAGTTGAGGGGCACCATGGCTGTGGGACTAGAACGAGTATACAGACGTGACAAGGAGAACTGGTGACCTGGGAAGACATCCATTTTCAGGGAGGGAGGGAGGGAGGGATGAAGGGAAGGAAGGAAGGAAGGAAGGAAGGAAGGAAGGAAGGAAGGAAGGAAGGAAAGAAGGAAAGAAGGAAAGAAGGAAAGAAGGAAGGAAGAAAGAAAGGAGGGAGGGAGGGAAGAAGGGGAAGGAGGGGAGGGAGGAAGGAAGGAAGGAAAGAAAGAAAAAGAAAGAAAAGACTAGGTGCAGACAATGTGACTAACATAATTCCTACAAACCCATTTCCAATTAAAATCATATACCTTTCTATATATTTGTGTCTGCACTAAGAACTGGAACCATTAGTAACTGTCACCTCTGGAGAATAAGATGGAAAGAACTGCCACCTTTTCCTTTAAATACCTGTGTACTGTTTCAATTTTCATGCAATAACTATTTACTATTTTTGAAATTCAAAATACCAAAAGGAGATTTTTAAAAGTATACCCCTATGCAGCATGTAGCTTGACAGTTTACAAAACCTTTAAACAACAGCCAGGCTTGTAGGTTAGCACCCTGCAGTGCAGGAGGAGGATGGGGCCAGGCTGGGGCCAGTTCTGATCCCACACATGGACTTTTTTTTTTCTTTTTGAGACAGGGTCTCACTGTGTATTCCAAGCTGGCCTTGAACTCACTATGGAGCCAAGGCTGGCCTCAAACTCATGGTGAAGATGACAGTAGATTATAGACATGCACCACCATGCCCAGCATAAAAACAATCTAGTCCTTGGGAAAGTCCATTTGCTACCACTGTCATTTTGGGGTTTATGGCCTATTTGTGCGTTATGGGGTAGGGCAGGAGGGAGGGGTGTGTGGTCACTCAGGGCAGACGAGGGCCCTGGAGAACCCGTCTCTGAGACAGCTCCCCTTGCACATGCCTGGATCTTCTTGCCGTAGAGACGCTCGCGTAGCTCACTGATGCGCTTGTCCATGAGGGCCACTTCCACGTTGCGCTGATTTAAGAGCTCCTTCTGTTGCTGCAGTTTTGAATTCTGTTCCTGGTTGAGCTGGTTACGAATCTATAAAACACAGAATACAACTTTTTAAAGATCTGCATTAATTAACAAGTCAAATTCTCATTGCCAGGGGGATTTTTTTTTTAAAAAAGAAGAGAAAAGGAAATCTTGAGTTGGGATGTGTTAGCACACATGTACTTTAGCTGTGTGCCGCAGGCTTCATAGGTGCAGCACAGCTGATGCCAAAACAGACTTCCTAGGGAACAGAGAAAGGACACCTGCAACTATGTGCCCTCTTCAAATCTACAAGATGACCAGGGCCAACAGGGACATGGGAGACCGAGACCATTCCAGGGGCCCTGGGAACAACCCCTGGGGTGGCCCCTGCAGCGCCCTCTCAGAACCCCAGAGGTGAGTGTGTGCCGACCTGCAATGCCACATAGGTCTGAGGCCACCAAACAGCAGCTCCCTAGGGAGGTGTAGGGAAGCTCACAGAGATGACCTGAATCACCACATCATTTCAGTGGGCTCCAACAGTATTATTGAAAAATGAAACTAGAGAGACTGGGCAGTATGAGGGCGCCCTCCACTTAGGAGGTTAGGAACTGTCTTGGTGAGCTCTTCAGGGACCATGGCCAAGTACACACACACCTGCACGTGTGCACAGAGAGGTGGCAAAGCGCACTTCAGAAAGTCAGAAATAAATTACATGTACTCATCACTCCTCCCCAGAGAAACCCTTTATAACCCTGCACATTTGATAGTTGCTTAAACTGCAGAAGAATGTTAAACAACTTTACAGCAACCACAAATGATTTTTCTCTTTTTTCATAAAATGATACAGTGCTTTTCTTAACTGGTGCTACAAAAATCACAAAACTTTCTTCTAGCTTTAAAAACATCACCTTGTAAGTGATCGCCTGTGAGAAATGGAAGCCGTGAGGGTCACGAGGACTCAGCGTCTGTGCTCTCTGAACTCACGGCTCACGTGCTCACCCGCAGTGTGATGCTGCCTGGAGCGGGAGGCCGTCCGTGGATATTCCCCAAGGGGAGGGGCGCTGGCCTCGTGCAGGGCAGAGCTAGAGTGCCCTCCCCACATGTGAGGACACAGCAGCAGCTCTTACAGACCCAACCTGCCAGCACCTGGAGCCTCCACAACTCTGAGCCATAAATGTCACCTAAGCCACCAAAACTGGGGTACCTTGTTATAGCAGCCTAAGCTGAGACAAGGACTTAACAAAAGGCATCTAGCTCAGTAAGTCTACCCACAAACCTTAACCCTAACACTTACTGCACTAATGTATCTTGCCAGCTCAATTCTGCTACACTGAAAACATGCTAACCGAAGGCCAATTACAAAGGGCCACACCGTTTGATTCCACTCCTATGACGTGTCCAGACGGGGCAAATCCACAGAGAAAGAAAGCAGATTCCTGATTGCCAGGCTCTGGGCAAATGGGGCATAGGCAATGCCTAAGAGACGAGGACTTGGCGTGGGACAGTGAAAATGCTCTAAAACCTACTGTGGTAGAGGATGCACATGTCTGTGAAGATAGTAACAGCCCCTGAGCCCCACACCTTAGGTGGATTACATCTCAATAAAGCCATTTAAAAATTAGTTTGCACTTAACGTAGTTTGTGCCTATTGAATCAGACTCTATGAGACTCTCATTTCTATTGCCCAAAGGGCCATCCCACAGTAAGAGGAGACTGCAGAGGAGGAGGGCACCCTGCAGAGTCGGGTGAGTTACCTGCAGCTCCTGGTACAGTCTCTTCAACTCCACTGCTGCAGGTCCTGTCAACTTGCCGTTGTAAGACTGGAATCCATTCAGTTTTCCTTTCTTTAAATCTTCCAACTGCTGACTAAGCTGATCAACTCTTAAAATTGCAGTCTGTACTTCCTGCTTCTTCTCCTGGAACATGGCACTGAATCTTTCTATTTCAGCAGCTGTAATTGCCCACCAGAAAAACAAAAAAAATTATTTGATTAATAGCCTATCTTCTTGATTTCTATACACTACACTCAACTCTGGTTATTATTTAGTGCCAGACCTTGGACTCAAGTGTGTAACACTGACTACTTGCACAGCCAACAATTTTACTTATGCCAATTTCTGAACATTCTTTAGGGCAACCAGCCTAAAAGCTAGCTTTGTCAAGTCACTTAGGAATCTCAGGCACCAACAGAACAAAGGCCTTGTGAAGGTCTTGCTCATCACTGTAACATGAAGTGGGCACTAAACTGATTTTAAAAAACGCAGAGTCCACCTAGATACAAAAATGAGCACTTGTATGGTTTCTCTTAATGTACGGATAAAACTTAAGTTGCTCCTGAAAATGGATGTTCATAATCACTGGGTCCTGGAGCTGCCCCTTCCCAGTCCAAAGGGCTGCTGTCAGCAGGTGACAGGAGACTCTGGACTACATCGTTAAGGCTAAAATGAAATATCCCACTGTGTTCCATAAATAGGCACAATTACTACATGATAATCAAAAATTTTAAACGAAGTTTGAGAAGGAAATACTAACACCCTTGATTTGATTAATACACATCTCTATATGTATCAAATTATCACACTGCACCCCATAAATACGCACAATTAAAGTTACATAAAGAAACAATAGGAAGCCGGGTGTGGTGGTGCACACCTGTAATCCCAGCACTCAGGAAGCTGAGGCAAGAGGACTGCTGTGAGTTTGAGCCCAGCCTGGGCTACATAAGCAAGTTCAAGGCCAGCCTGGACTCCACAGTGAAACCCTGTCTCAAAAAACCCAAAAGCAAAACCAAACAAAACAACAAAAAACCAAATAAAACAAACAACAGGAGATTGATGTTAACATAATCCTATTGACTCAACACAACCTAATTTGGATTTCACCAGTTTTACATGGATATCCTTTTTTTTTGCATTGGGGAATGTATAGTTAAAATCATTTGACTTAACCATCTCCATCCTCCTAGATACACATAATACAGTAAACTTTAGTGCACTTGCTGGAACAACATTCCATGTGAATTTGTGACAAACGGTCAGGCAGCCAGCCTTTGAGCATGCTGGGGAAGTGTGGGTACAGTGCGCCACGGGCACATACACAGATTGCCGTTCATAATTTTGCTGTAATCAACTTGTCCTCTCATGGCACGAATTTTCTTCAGCTTGTTTTCTTGGGCTTCAACTCGTTCTTTCAACTTCTGAAGCTTCTCGTTTTCAGAAACAGACTGCTGCTGGCGACGCTCCTGTTGTTTTAGAAAGTGTAAACGCTGTTCCTGACAAAGAAGGGAAACCAAGCTTTGTCAATTGAAACTTACCGGCCAGAGATATATATAGCTCAGTGGTACAGCACCTGCCTGGCAAATGCAAATATGATTCCCTCAACACTCTTCAAAGGAAAACCGAGAGTGTTTGTTCCTCAGTCTCATCTATCTTAATGAATACTAAAGAAACACTAAAGGAACCCTGCACACATCAGCCCACACCAAACTGAATTATTAGGCATCCACAGAGGATATGTAAGAACTTAAGGATTTATGCAGAGGCTCTGACCTGATCTTATTATTTAGTGCCAGACCTTGGACTCAGGGTGCCCCACTCAGCAAAGGTCAGAGCCTCCGCACGACGCAGGATGGTGCAGAGGCGCTTAGCAGGATGCGTGCTCTGACGGCCATCACCTCCTGGCTCCGCCTGCCTTGCTTCCTACTTCAGAAACATATTTCCCGCCGCTACGAAGCTCCCTGCGTTTCTCTTCCTTCACTTTCTAAAGGAATGGGCGCTGGCCAGCAGAGGGTTTTTCACATGAGGAAAGGAAGTAGGTAAGGAGATAACCCTCCAATTTGTGACACTGACCAATAAAGATAATGTTTCCTTTCTGCAGGATTAGTTTCTTCCAAAACAACAAAACGTTTTACAATAAAATAATGCTAAAATGAAATTATGTGCGAGTTGGCACAGTGGCACACGTCTGTAATCCCACCACTCAGGGGGCTTGCTGTGAGTTCAAGGCCAGCCTGGGCTACATAAGGTAGTTCAAGGCAACCTGAACTGCACAGTAAGACCCTCTACTGTCTCAAAACAAACAAATAAGCTGCAATGGTGGCGCATGCCCGTAATCTCAGCACTTGGGAGGCTGAGACAGGAGGACTGTCGCAAGGTTGAGACCAGCCTAGGCTATAAAGTGAGCTCAAGGCCCGTCTGAACTTCATCGTGAGACCCTGTCTCAAAAAGACAAAAATAAAAACAAAAACAACAATGTGCAGTACCCTTCAGTAGTTTTGTTACCCATTAATGTGAAAACATAGGTTTAGAATAACAACATTAAATACTCATGGCCCTGTATATATGCATAAAACACACTTAAATAAGGAGAGGCTTAGGTATGATTATGTAGGCATCACTACACTCAAAGATCAAATATTTAAGATGTGGCATTAACTTGTGAATTATACTCCTACTTAAAATATTAAGTTTTTTTAAAAACAGCAATATTCTTGGAAAAGAAAAATAGAATTAGAAAATTTTACAATTATCTAATAGTATGTCCACTTCATCTTAGAAATCTCACTAATGGGATGAGATACTTTCTAATTTTAAAAATTTATAATTGTTTTTATTCTTGTAAGCCCAATAAACTTTCAGACTCTTTAAAGTTAGTCCAACTTATTATTATTTACATAAAGTCAGATAGTAGAATGAACTACAGTCATTCAATGAACAGAAGAAACTGGACTGACTGGTCATCTGGTAATTAAGGAAATCTCTCTACAGAAGAAAGCAGTAAGAACTTGCTAAAGTTTAAGAGTTCTCTTTAAAGCAGTTTCAGAAAATTTTAAGGCCATTCATAACATGAATTGTTTCCAGCAGGCATGGGCAATGGGTCTGACATCTTATGTCTATCGTGCATGACTAAACCATGACTTGGAAAAACCCCAAATCTCACTCTAGAGTTCCAACCACAAATGGAGAACTCGGCATAACAGTGAGCATCAGGTGTGCCCTGCACCCAGTAAACCAGACAGGCCCAGCACAGAGCGGCCTCCTGGAAGCTGGTTAACCAGCTATCACTTATCTAGGACTTATCACAAACTGCAGTCTCCTCTAGGACACGAACACTAACCTCAAGGGAGAGAATACGCTAAGAGGAGAACAGAGGTGACAAGAAAGAGCGCCCTCTTTTTCAAGTGCTGTCTATAGTTTGGGTAGGAATAACTGCTGCCTGTTCTGGGTGTCTGTATACAGGTCCAGGGTCAGGGGCTCTTGCTCTTCACCTCCCCAACATCACAAAGCTCCAGGTTCCTCTGTTGTTACAGCAGAGATCAGTAGACAGAAGGACAATGCCCAGCACTTTCCTGGCATGGCCCCATCTTATGAGTGCTAAGCTGCTCAGCCTGGGTTTGAACCTCCTCCTCCTCCCCCACCAGCTCCCAGGATGATGGGACTGCAGGCCTGTACCACCACGCCGGGCTTGACCATGTCTTCAGCAATGCTTCCTTATCTCTGCTTTTACAACTTACCTTGGCCACCAACATTTGTTGTTGATTTTCAATTTGTTGCTGTTGCCTGGCTGCCATATCCTGGAGCTCTGATAGGGTGAGTTCGACTCGTGGATTCCCAACCTGCAAGGAACAAGAAGCCCTGGGAATGTACATTCATCTGCATCACCCTGTTTTTCTAATGGTGGAACACACAGGTGGGGATTTTCAAGTAGGTTTCCTAAAAGTTAGAAGAATACAAATTATTTTTTCATAAGAACTTTTCCTAATTGTGGACTACTTTTATCACACCTAAATAATAGATAAAAATCCTTTCAAAATAATGTTTTCTAGGGGGCTGGGGATATAGCTCAGTGGCATAGCTCCTTGCTTGGCAAACGCAAGGTCCAGAGTTCAATTCCTGGTACCAAAAAAAAAAACTTTTCTAATGCATAAACATTTCTGATGCACAAACATCAGATGCTGTATTTAATAAGAGGCTCACCATTAAGCAAACCTTTGCAAATGTGAATCTTAAAGAGACATTCCTTTGTTTGGAGCAGGGGTTTAATACACATATTACAGCAAATGGGGCTGTCAAATGTTTAAGGACATACAACGAAGAAAGTAAATATGCAGGTGACACCCAAGGATAGACATCCTCTCATTGTCACCTACTCCTGAGAAACTGTAATAGATTCTAAGATACAAATACTTCATTAAAAGCACCTTAAGTATGACCTACAGGAGGAACTGACATCATCTGACAGAGATTCGTGTGTGTGAAGTGAATACAAAAGGGAAACATCTAAAGGAGTGGCAACTAGCCACATGCCCTCCTCTGTAACAATGCCCTGAATCATATGCTTCAAGCACTATAAGCACACCCACCTACACCTCAGCATGACCCGAGACAGGTGCCACGACACCGTGCTCGGCGGACAAGGGAGGCAGCAGAGGGCAGGCGGCACATGTGAGGCTGAGCTGGGACAGAGTGCATTCCAGACCCTTCACATGGCACACCAGTCACTAAGCCCCGTGCACACGTGCTGCTTCTTCCACTGCCGCGTGGTGCGGAGTCACGGGGAGGGGGAGAAGGAACACATGAACAGCAGCGCAGGAAGCTCATTTCTAAGTCTGTCTCCCTCCAGAATCTTTACTTCTGGCCTCAAAGGCCATGAAGTCCCTCCTCGGAACCCCACTTCCCGGTCCAAGGCTCACACGCACTCTCGGACCCTTTACTTCTACGGCTCTTATCCTCACAATCCTGAACAATCCCAGTCCCTGTTACCTTGGCTTCCTGTCCAAACTTTTATAGTACTCTTGTTCAACAGTTTTACGTGGAATAAATTCTGTTCGTCTATAGCTCCTGAGGGAGCAATGTGGAGCGAGGCTTTTTCTGAAACCGCCGTCTGGGCTGTGGACATCACTCAGTGACAGAGCATTGGCCTCGCACAAACATGGTCCTGGCTAACCCCCATGCAGCCAAACAAACAAAAACCCAGATATTTCAGTGAGTTACAGGAATTTCCATTTGAAAAGAAATGTGTTCACCCCACCAAAAAAGTCTGGCAGATCAGTCCAAACGACTAAAAGACTATTTCTACTTTAACACTCTTACAGGCTTTCCACTAAGATTTCCCAGTCACCACAACAAAGGTCTTCTTTTCTTTTCTTTCTTTACTCTTTAAAATAACTGTCATGAATTTATTACTCTTCCTCCAGCACATGAGTGAAAGTGGCCCGGGACAGCAGTGTGTCCAGGTGGATCTTGAACGCACAGTCTCACAACAATCCATCTGCACCAGCTGTGAAGGGAGAGTTCCCCAGACATGAGGTGGGCTGTGGCCAGACACAGCTCTTCGTGGACAAAGATGCCAGGCCCTCACATGCACTCGGCCCCATGCCACAGGGAGCTCTCCAGGAAGGAAGAGGAACAGCTGCAAGTCTGAGTCCCCTTGCTCTGTGGGCCAGACGGGGCATAGCAACTGTACTCAGTGCTTGACCCTCCTGGAGGGCTCGTGGTGCCGCCCCTCTCTGCAGTCACACCCACGGTTGGCAAGGGTGTCTGTCTGGTCCATGGTGACCACAACAAGGAGACCACTTCCCACCACTTCCACTGTAGATTGTACTGCAGGTCTTGGAATTCTGGAGCCTGGAAGGCCTGGATTAAGGTGCTGGTGGGAACGGGGTGTGGTGATGGGCTGCTGACGGCTACCTTTTCACTGTGTTCAGAGCCGTGTAAGGACGTGAGACGACACTGCCTGCATGGTGAGGTGAAGGGTGTGGGTGCGGTGTCCCAGGGCTGGGCTCTTCTGGTCAGAAGGAGACACCGACACCACACCAGAAGAAGCGCTGATTTCACGTCATGCAGGGCCATCAGCCTGGCAATGTCAATGGCTAGCCATCAGATGATGCTGATGTTGAAGGTTTTTTTTGCCAAAATCGATTTTTGTTTGTTTGTTGTCTTCTTGAGACAGGGTCTCGCTACACAGTTCAGGCTAGCCTTGAGCTCACTTTGTAACCCAGGCTCATCAAGAACTCTCAAAGATCCTCCTGCCTCAGCCTCCCGAGTGCTGGGATTACAGGCATGTGCCACCTCGCCCGGTTTGAAATCGATTTTTGACTCAGAATGCCTGAACACATTTTCCAAAGCAGCCCTTGCCTCCCAGGAATTATTTCAAACCAAGGTGCAAGTTGAGTTTGGAGTGTAGAAAAGTGGACCCCAAAGGTACCAAAAACTTTCAGAACTTTTACCTCTTAAAGTTTTTTTTGACTGGAAAAAAAAAAATAACATCCATTCAACAAATCATTACATTTTTACTAATTTAATGATTTCATAACTTTAATAAAAACAATCCTAAACTGTCTGGACTCTTTCCTACCGAAGCTTAGAATAACAATAAAAGAGGACAGTAGAGAAATTGAACTCTTCCATCCTCTACTATTTATATAAAAATATTTTATATCTGGTTAAACCAAGACAGATTTTATTTGTCACTGTTTATACTCTCTTTTTATGTGGTACATGTGTTTTTCAAACCACAAAATTAATATATGCCATGTCACAAGTAATGAAGGTGTTATATATATATATACACACTAATAAACAATAATACAATTTTAGATTTTACAGAAAAATACAAGTAGATCTTACAGAAAAATATAAATTGCTGGGCTTGGTGGTGCATGCCTATAATCCCAAGACTTGGGAGGTTGAAGCAGGAGGATCGTTGTGAGTTTGAGACCAGCCTATGCTACAAAGTGAGCTCAAGACCAGCCTGAACTGCATAGTGAGATCCTATCTCAAAAAGACAAAAACAAAACAAAAAAACCAAACATATAAATCATAGTGTATATATCATAGCTTATTTCAAAAGTGAAAAATTCTTTTTTGCTGTTGTTTTTGGTACTGGGAATCAAACTCAGGACCTTGCGCTTACCAGGCAAGCACTTGTGACACTGAGCTATCTCCCCAGCCCAAAAGTGACTTAAGATTTTAGTACCATTAATACTGGTTTTTTTTTTTTTTTTTTTTTCTTTTGTCTTTTTGAAAAGTAGCAGGAATTGAACTCCAGACCTCGAGCTTGCCAGGCAGGTGCTTATGCTACTGAGCTATATCCCTGGTCCTCATTTTGATTTATTTGTATTTTTAAAAATGTACATGTATTTAAAAGAGTTAAAGCACAAGCCAGCATAAGCTTCTAAGTTAACAAATATGAAACAATATATATGTTAGTATGTACTATTCCTTTAAATGTGCAATGTAAAAATTTGGCAAGATGAAGAGCTTTTTATCAGTTGTTTTAGAAAACAAAAGTGCTTCAATGCAAATGCGACCCTTTATGGTGGGCCCATCCTTCCCTGGAGTACAGGTGCATTCATCCCCACTTACAATTGTAAATTCCCCATCTGAACTTAAGTTATTCACACAAATTGGCTACACAACCCCTTCTATTTCTTTTCACTGCATCTATGTTGAGGAGACCTCACCTGTCCCCTCGAACCCTTCAGGGCCCCTCACTGGGCAGTTGCTTGTGAGCTCTCTCTGGGCACCTCAGCACCCTTTGTATAAGGCCCCTCCTGCCTGTACCCAGTGACTGGGTTGTCCCTGATGTCCCTCACTGCCTGACCTTGGACTCCGTAGAGTAGTTATGCTCCAAATGACTCTCTGACAGCACTTACTTCCCAAGGAACACACAGCCACCCTCAGCACGAAGAGTGGCAGAAGGCTCGCCCCAGCCATCGTAATCCCCATTTCACCAGGTTCCCACAAAGGTAGAGCAGAAACAGGAAGCTAAGAGACTTTCTTCTTTAGGGTACAACAGCTTTCCTTATACGCGCATACAGTGCCTACCTACGGACACTTGTGCCTGGAGCAGGCTCACGGCAGGACGGTTCACAGGGCTGTAAACCACGCAGCAACAAGTCCCTGCCCGGCCTGGGCACAGTGCCAGGGACCAGCACCTGTGCGTGACTCAACACCTCCTGCACCTCCACCAGACCCCGCCACCCTCCGCTGCAGACAGCCTCTTTCCAACTGTGGAAGCCCAGACTTCATTCATCCTGTCCTGCTCTGACATCCATCCTGTCTTCCTCACCAACCATTTTACCCTCCTCAGGCCCCTGCCAACTTCACAAGCCCAAAGCACTCTGGCCCTGTGATCTCCCTGTAACCATGGCCCCCAGCTCCTGTCACTTGGCCATAAGCAATGGTCTGGTGGAAGTTCATAGGTGAAAAAGCTGAATGATGTGCTCAAGACTGCAGTTGCTGGGCACAGTGGCACACACTAGTAATCCCAGCATGCTGGGAAGCTGAGGCAGGAAGATTACAAGTTTGAGCCCACTTTGAGCAACTTAGTGACTTAGTAAGACTGTCTCAAAATAAGAAAACTGTTAAAAAGGGCTGAGCATGTAGCTTAGTGAAAGGCCCTGGGATCAATCCACGGTACTTAAAAAGAAAAGACATCAGTGGCAGGGAAGGACTGAGGCTGGCTCCCCACTCTGCACACAGGCTCTGAGAAGATGCTGGGAAATAGCAGTGTTCTGGTACTGAACTATCGTCGTTAGCTACAACACAGCAGCACTGTGATAATCCATTTACCTCCCATATGCCATGGACAGACCTAGACACTGAAGGCAAC